GGCCCCAGGCACTCAAAAATGAGTGAATGCTGCCATCAAGGTAGATGACGTTGTCCTTATTGTAGCTGTGGGTTTATCGGGCACCATCGTATGTGCAGGTGCTGTGCTAAGTGCTTTCTGAGCATCGTCTTACTTAACCCACAGTACTGTCCTCATTTACAAAGGAAGGGACCCAGACACACATCGCTGAGTAACTTGCCAGAGAGCACAGCTTCAGGTACCGGACCCCTATGACGTTATTCTGGGGGGGGGGGCTCAGAAGATTCAGAATCCAGCAGTGGAGGCAAATACAGGAAAAAGACATTTCAACATAATGTTGTAAATTTCAAGTTAAAGGGTTGCTATGGGGGGCCAGGGAGGAGGCCTTCACTCCCTCTGGGTTTCAGGAAAGATTCTCTACAATAGGAGCTCAGGACTCCCACCTGGAGTGCTCTTCCCCCAGTGTCACCTGGCCAGGTCACCTGGCCTTGGCTGAAGTGCCATTTGCTCAGGGAGACTTTTTTTTTTTTTAAAGATGACCAGTAAGGGGATCTTAACCCTTGGCTTGGTGTTGTCAGCACCACGCTCACCCAGTGAGCAAACCAGCCATCCCTACATAGGATCCGGGGCCTTGGTGTTCTCAGCACCACACTCTCCCGAGTAAGCCATGGGCCGGCCCCTCAGGGAGACTTTTGTTGGCCTCCTTAATGGAAGCCAGGAGCCTCTGGATATGCTCTCACCCTCTCCTTGGTTTGTAATTATGCATAAGCTCCATGTAGTCCCCTCTGTTTCCAACGCCTAGCATGGTGCCAGGCTCAGGGTAGACCCTCAGTGAGGATCTGCTGAATATATGCATGAAGGTGTGATGGCGCCTGATTAGGCATTCTAGGCCACAGGGACAGCATGAGCAAAGGCCTGGAGGTGTGACGCCTGCTGTCGCCCGCCACGATGCAGCTGGAGTGGGAGGTGAGGAGAGGTAGGAGGAAGTAACGGAGCAAGCCAGGGTGGGCTGCGTGCTAAGGAGCTCTGCTGCTGTTCTAGGACCGTGAGGGGTTTTGTGCAGGGAAGTATGGCAGCAAGCTTTGGGCTTGGAGACAGCACAGCACAAGAGTGTGTGTGGCTTTGTGGGGGCCACACAGAAGTCACATAATGCTCTTGCACCTCAGCTTCCTGTTTTATGAAAAGTGATTATTGACGATGTATACTTGTCACGGGGGATTAAATCAGATCATGGATGTAAAGCACTCAGGACAGTTCCTGACACTTTTATTTTTGTTTTTTTTTTTCATTATTCAGTCATTCAGCGATATTTTTTGTATTTTTAGTTCAGGCACGGAGCTAGAAATTGTAACTTATGATGATGGCACATTTGATGTAAGGGCCAGGGCCAGTTAGGAGGCAATCCCGTTACTGTTGTAAAGAAGACAAAGGCCTGGTCCAGGTCGCTGGCAGGAGGGAGAGGGGACTGGAGGCTGTGAGGAGGAGAGACTTGAGCTAGAATGATAGTTCTTGGCTTCTGGGTGGACGCTGGGGTCGAGGGAGAAAAACAGGCTGGCCTGAGTCTCAAGTCTGGGTGCCCGATGGAACAATGACACCATTAGCCAAGCTGCCCTGCTGACCAGGCTGCTCGTCAAGCCCCACCACCAGCTCCGGCTTCTCTCTGTCTCTAGAGTCTGCCCAGGAACCTGCCAGTGACCATCATCTCTCAGAACTTTGGGGACGCCACCCCCAGGATCAACGGTCAAGAAGCGGATGATTCTTCAACCTCAGAGGAGTCCCCCGAAGACAGCAAGTACTTCCCACCTTACCACCCGCCCAGGCGCAGGATGAATCTGAAGGGCATCCAGGTGCTTGGATGCGGAGGGGCCATGGTGCAGGTGGCGCAGGTGCCTTGTCAGGCCACTGAGGGGCGGGAGGGACAGGGAGATGGGAGCCCCTCTGCAGGCGGGCGGTGGCACGGCATGGCCATGCCTGGTTCTGCTAGGGACTTGGGCCCAGATGTGACTTGACCTGTTTCAGTCCCAGAAACGGAAATCATGCCAACTCATGTTTTTTTACTTGTTTATTGTTTTTACTGATTCCCTCTCTCATAAAAGTAATAGAAATTTTAAAAAATGAGAGAGAGAGAGAGAATGAAATAAGTATTATTTCCAAATTCATTTGTTTATTAACCAAATAAGTATCGAGTGCCTATTACACGCCTATCCCATGCCAGGCACCATTGTAGGAGCTGAAGTGACAGCAGTAATCTTGCCACTTTGCTCTGGATCTAGTGCAATCTGTGGCACTTGGCTGACTCTTGATGAGTAGTGAATGAATGAGTGAGTGAGTGAATGAGTGAGACCATCTCATGAGTGCCCGACGTGCCTCTGCCTCTCCCCACCTTGCACACATCGGAGCCCAACTGGGGAGCCATTAGCATTCGTGCCAAGGTGGCTGGAGCAGCTGCCTGAGAGCCTCATCCTTCCTGAAGATTCCCCCACATGATGACCTGCTCTGCCTAGCCTCATATTCCCCACACATCGCCCCTTCCCCTCTGCTGTGCTTGGCTCTTGTCCCGTCTTCTGCTAGAAGCCATATTGCACGGCCTCCCGGGAGGGGAGCTTGTCTGTCCCAGCAGCTGCCTGATCCAGGCCCAGGGGAGCTGCCACTCTCGTCCCAGCAGCAG